GACTCTTCGTGACCCCATGAACCATATTGCGCCAGGCCTTCCTGTCCTTCACTGCCTCCCTGAGTTTGCTCGGGGCCGCAATTCCCACCCCTGGTCCGGGGATGTAGTCCCGGTATCTGGAGGGCGCCAGGTTGACGAAGGCTGGGTCGCAATGAACTCCTTCCCCCCCCCTCCCTCCCCCCAAAGCAATTCCGTTCTTTTTCTCCAAAATTAGCCTGGGAAATGATTGTGCACGGATGACAATCCTTTCGAGCTCTAGCCCCAAGAATCCCATTAGCTCGAGCTGGCAATTAATTGGGTTTTCACTTGAACGTCGCTGCTCGGACTTACTTTGGTCTCGGGTCATTTGCAAGCAGAAGGCAGGTCCATCTTGTTCGCGCACCGCAACTTGCTCTCCCGTGCTCTACTCGCGCGCAATGTAACCTGCTGCCGGCTGAGCCAACGAAACCCGCCCTCTGACCCCTTCGACCCGAGTGATGGGCCTCTCCGACCTATCGCAGAGCTCCTTCGCCGTCAAGCGGAAGAGTTGGCCGGCGCGGACCAATGAAACGTCGGGCACAGGGGATTGACCCGCCCCTCCCAAAGAGACCCAGAAAAACTACAACCGCATAGTACCACGCAGCATTCACTTCCGGCTCTCACGTGTGCCTGGGGAAAGGCTGCAAGGAAATCCCGCGGAAGCTTTGCGCAAAAACGTAAATAAATTAAAAGCCTTTTTGCTTTTCCTTGCAGTGCTTAAAAATAAAGGGAACCGAGTGCTTTTTTTTCCCTCCCAGAAGACTTTTAATACCCAATGCTATTTTTGCATTTAATTTAATTGCATTTATGTAGAGAGTTGCATTTATTATTTTTGCAGCAGCCCATGAAAAGTTACCATCCTGCATCTGCAAAGGCCTCCCCAAGATTCTCTGTCTGCAGACGTTTCTGATTGCAACATTGGATTCTCTGCTCCTGTTATTGCTGCTTATTCCTTAATAGCTTGTGGCATGTCTCCCCCGCAAGTCACCCTGAGCCTTTCCTGGTGGATCAAAATCGTTTGATTTATTTGACGCATGTTTATTTTGAAATGTTAGGGACCCCCTTACTGTATTTCCAACAAAAAAAGGAAGGAAGGAAGGAAGGTTGGTTGAAGATGGTTGAGAAAAAGCTTTGGTTTACATTTGGAAACAACCCTTTTTTCTAAGAATCAAAATCATTTAGGAAAAAAAACATTGCAATGGAAACAAACAGTTTATTCCAATAGGAGAGAATCTCTGTAGCTCAGGGTGGGAGTCCTGAGTCCTCAGTGCTCTCTGAGCTTGGTTATTTGCTTGCAGACGCTTCATTACCCAACTAGGCAACATCATCAGTGGAAGTGAGTGTGGGGTTTGCGCCCTCCTTATATGCAGTAGCTTCCCCTGCCAGTGTGGGTGGGGGTGTGGTTTTCTCCTGGGTAGTTCCTTGATTAGGGTCCTGCTTACCTGGGTGCTGGCTTCTTCTGACTGCTGGTTGGTGCTCATGGATGCACTGTGCTAGTCTTCTGCAGGCAGAAGACATGATGAAAACTCCTTAATCTCACAGTACAGGGACCGACTCAACCATAGTTTCAGCTGGGAAACTGTGAGCATCCTAGACCAAGCTAAATCCAAAAATGTGAGGGAATTCCTGGAAGCTTGGCATTCAGACAAGTAAGCCATCAATAGACACATAGAAATAAACCATATTTACACACCATTCAAAAGAGGTAAGAAAGCTAAGAAGGAAACAAAAAGACCAGGATAGATCCTCTCCAGCTGCCAACACCCAGAGGAGCAGGGATTAACACCAGACAAACAATCAGGAAGAAAATAATATCCTAATCAAGGAACTATCAAGCAGGAAACCACACCCTGTCAGCCTTACTAGGTAAACCAGACAGGAAACACGACCAGATGAGTTAATTCTACTTTACTGCAAGGCTACATTGGCAGAATCTTGCAAATCTGAAAGTACAATTCTCCTGCTGACTCCTTTACAGCTCAAGAAACCAGGGAGGGTCCCTTCTGAGCCTCTTGCCCTGCCCACTATCCAGCTGTGGGCTCAGCTGTCTCTTATCTGACCGTTCCCTTGGCAGGGTCTCTGGGCCCAGTCTCCCAAGGTCTTTCCCACATCCCATTACACACCCCCACCAACACTGACAGGGCAACTACTGTATATAAACGGAGCAAACCTCACATTTACCTGCACTGATGATGGTACCTAGTCAGGTAATGAAATGGCCGCAAGCAAACAACCGAGCTCAGAGAGCACCAAGGGCTCCAAACAGTTTATTTTCTGCATTATTGTCTTGGCAGCTGTTTTAAAATTCCCTGCTAATGT